CCAAACTCTGCATTTCCCTGCAGATACTGCTTTTACTCAAACTACTGAAAATACAGACACAATTCAGCAAGGACCCTAAGCCAAAAGCCCAGAGGTGCACCCAGCATGAACAAGGCACAGCCAAGCACTAACACACAACAGCACTTGCTGTGATGCTCTGCCTGCATCCTCCCCATCGTCACCAGCATGCTGCTGCAGCCTGACCCAGACCACAGGGCACAGGCACGCCTTTTGCTTGCAATTAATTTGGCCAGTATTAATTCAAAGCCAAATTCAAACACGAGGGTGCTGACACACAGCTCCAGCGATGTTACCGAGCTGTCTGTAATTGCTGTGCTAAGTGCCGGGGACATGCAGTATTGATTTCCACCCTGATCTGCATCCAGGTTTAGACAGAGGCTGCAGCCAAAATATTTCTTCCAGCAAACTCACCTTTTAGAAAGGACTATGAGGACTGAGAGGTTTGAGCGATTAACACTCACGCTAAGGACTGTAACAATGCACAAGTTTCATTCCTACCTACCTACGCACACCCACCATCCACTTCTGCTCTCCCTCTTTGCTGAATTCTTCCAGTTTTGTTTTAAATTGTGTAAAACAGGCCCTTGAAGCGTACTGCAAAAATAGTGCATTACAGCGGGGAAGAGCCTCAGTGCGCACAAAAGGGGCAGAATTACCACCTCGAGCTGTCTCAAGCTGCACCGTAATTACACGAATAACGCATCTCACACACTCAGTATTAATTACTGACTGAGCACAGCACAGAGGCACACGTTCACCTCCTTTCACATGGCTTGGGACGGACCCGGAGCAGCCGCCCGCAATGATGAGATCACCAAGCTCCTTCCCGTGACAGGCGAAGGGACCTGCCGATTCCACCACACGAGTCGGGACCGAAGCGGATCCCCACCACACACCCAGCAGCCACTGGCACACCCCACATCCACGCCTGCAGGTAAGCAGCTGCCCACCCAATTCACCAGCCTCCTGCCTGCCTTCAACGTCTCTGCGTAAATCAAACAGCTTGGCAACCCTCCTACTTAGAAGACACACGACAGCAGAGCTATTCAGAGATACTTGTTTTCACCCCATCCTTCTGAACGTTGTCTCAGAATCTTCAAGGAAAAGCATAAGGCTCACTACAGATATCTTGGGCCTGCCTAAACAAACAAGAGTGATGTAAGAGAGCGTTTATGGCAGTATATAAACAATAGTATCAAACTTAGGGAGGAAACCCAAAATGGAGAGTGAATCCAACCAGTGGGGTTTGCAGAGACCAAGTACTCTCCCCCTTCTCTCAATAAGCATGATGAATGCAATGCTCTTCAGATGCAATTTTACACTTAATTGATTGGCTTCTGTTATACCACCACCGGTACACGGCTGGATGTACCACATTTTAAGTAATAGCCTCTTAAACTCATGGGAAAGGGGAAAAAAAACAACACGTAAGAGCTACAAGGCCACAGAGCCACACCTCGTTAGGGAAGCATCCTCTTTCCTAGAACGCTGAAGCCGATTTGCCACCTTAAGGAGTGGGAAGATGCACCGACCCCTCCAGCAACTTCAGCAGCCGTCGAAGGTACCGGTCTCAGACCCAGCCAAAGGTGGGACCACTCTTTGCCTCTGGTCACAGGGACCCCACAGCTCCAAAGCACACGTAATTGTAGTTAATAAGCAGAAACATGCACGCTTTGGGGGGACGGAGCACGTTTCTTTGGCACCGTTACAGCGTACTGACTGCTTTCCAGCATGCCAACAGTAAAGGGACCCGAAGAGGGGTTTTTCCCTCACTCTACAGATTAGAAAACCTCCAAGGAAAACAACAAGAAACCCAGACCCTTGGAGAGCCACATACCCATCCCTCCCTCGCTGGGGCGTGCTGCGGGAATAAAGGCACCGCTCCTCTGCAAAAATACACGCGCCTCTCCAAAAGTCTCCAAAAGGCGAGGAAACGAAACAAAACACAGAGCACGCCCGCAGGAACGGCGTGTGCACGGGCAGCCAAAGGGTTTTACCTGCTGTTCTAGCGGGAAGGCTGCATTTCCACACCCACGCTGATGCCCTCTACGCCGTGTCCCCAGCTGCATTCCTGATGCCCCTGCTCCGGCGGGGGAGGATGAAGGCATCCTCCTTCTGCCCTTTCAGCAGATTTTTCTAAAAGAAAGCGCCTCAGTAGCCTGGATATGGCAGGGTCTGGGTCAGATTATACCAACAGGCACCTATGCAGATCAGTTCTGAAAATACCCGACCGCACACGTAACTTTACTCCCCGCAGCTACCGGGAAGCTCTGCCGGGTCCAGCTCCTGCCGCACAGCAAACCCACCTGACGAGGGATTAACTTCGTGTAACAAGTGGAACTCACACACCACACCCCCGCTACCGAAACAGTAAAATACAACAAGCTAGATGGAACAAATCCGCAATTTAATCCTTCTAAATAAATTTGCATTAATGCCACGAACAACAAAACACCGGCAGTGCAGGAGCAGCCTGCCGGGAGCAGCGATACTCACCAAGAGCTACACCAGCCTTCGAACACTGCAGGTTAACCAAGAGGCGACTGTGAAGTAACACCTAACCACCATACCAAGAGATACTCACAGTAAATAAGTCACAAGTAAATAACAGCTACTGACATTTTCATCACGCAGGTGTAAATTCAGTTCAGCTATCGGGGAAGGGGAGGACTTGCACTATTTTTGCTCTGACACCAAGGCTGCTCCAGGGTGAACTGTCATGCAAGCCTGCAATTATTTGGGAAATATATATATATATATATATTCACATTTAAATGTTTCTAAAGTAACAGCGATGGCAGCACCACTCCGAAGAGCGGGGAACGTGGGTTTCAGCCAGGTGAGCACCAGAGCCCTGCAGAAACAATCCGGACCCTGTCTGTTAACCTTCGCGCAGAGCCAAGAACAGAAAACCGCTTCCCGCTCCCCCCGCACCCCGTTTTCCACCCTCGGCCCCCGCCGCTCCAGCTCTGAGGCCCTGCTGACAACTTTTTCGGGGTGCAAGGGTGAAGGGGGGGGGATGTACACGCCGCATAGGGGCTGTGCAAGCCCTACTCCAGACTTAAGGCGTGCCGGGGGGGGGTTGTGGGCTCCCCGCAGGGTACCGGGCTCCCCCACTCGCCCCCCCGGGGCCAGCGGTTCGGGCCGGGCCCGCGGGGGAGCGGCGGGGCCGGAGC